CAAAGAGCTTTAGATTTCAATTTCATGGTCTCTGGTGTTAAGCATTTTTCCAGCATGTATTAAAATTTTATTAAAAATTAGGAACAGAAGAAAAAGGGCTGTAGGAAAAGTTCTGTGGAATGAGGCAACAGCAAAAACATAATCTAATGTAAATTTCAGAAATAAAAGATATGAGCAGGAGTTGCCATAACCTTGTGAACCACCATTAACATTAATACAGGATTATAGCTGCCATCTAGATGATCATAATGAGAATAAAACTCTATTAGCCCAAAGGCAGCTATGAAAAGCAGAATAGGAGAGACTTACATGAATAAATAAGTCACGCTATGCATCTGTTTGCAATTAAATTACCTTCTATCTGTTTAAAAACAAAATTCTTTCTCCATTAACCTCACAGACACTCCCAGTACTACCTGACTTTTCTGAGGTAAGTTTCATAGGAGACATGTATTCCTTTGTCTCTGAAATTAAATCCTAAAACAATTGATGGCATCATTTTTCAATGCCATTTTATTTGTCTCATGTTTATGGATTAAGAAAGGCTCCTATGATTGCATGTCATTACTGCACAGTATAGAATGTGTCTGACTCTACACTCAGTAATTGCCTTTTTTTCTTTTTAATTACAGTTTTCTAATCCCCTGGTTAAACACAATGATCTACAGGTCACTGAAACTGCAGGTTTTGGTGGCATCATTAACTGTGGCAGAAGTAAAGTTGGAGGCAACAGAAGTCAGTAAGTTCTGAGGTACCAGCAGCTGACTCCTAAAACATAAATGGAGCACAAATCCATACACTGCCCTCAATACTCTTTCTGGTCACTTATAGCTGGCCATAGACAGAAACACAGGAAAACTGAGGTAGGAAAGGACCTCTAAGGTCAAGTCAAACCATCACCTTACACTGCAAGGTCCACCACCAAACCATATCTAGATGTTTTTTATATTCTATATCTAATATAAAACCACATATATAATATTTTGTGTGAAACCTGTTAGGTTTTCCTTCTGATAAAGTTATGAGGTCACATGTTATTCTTACCCCCAACTGTGAGCATACAACTATTTTCAAATAATAACCCTAATTACAGAATTACTGAACCACAGAATTAACTAGGTTGGAAAAGTCCTTTGAGATCATCAAGCTCCATTCCATTCAGCCTGTATTTTCTCCATTGATACAAGCAATCTGATGTGGCATTCAGAGGTTGTCTTTCAACCTATGCTATGTACAGTATGGGAATGGGTGCTATTGTTTACTGTTTGAAATTCAAGTGCATTTCCACTCTGAGAATAGCGCAGTTCACAAAATACACAAAGCCTGCAGGGTGTTTATAAACAATAAATTAATTTGGGGAATACATGGAACAATGTTTTTGTATTAGGAAAAAACCACTATGGAATAAGCTATCCCATATTATTTTGCTATCACTGTGTTTCCCATGATTATTGTATTCAAGCTCAGTACTGGAAACAGAATTTTCTTGTTTTTCTTTTGATTTTGGTTTGCTATTAATTTTCCATAGTGCTGCTAAAGCTCATTTTGTTGTATTTGGAGTACAGGTAACTTTACACAGCACAGCCAAAGATATTATTACAGTTTTTGGTTTGTTTAAGGTGTAATGTTAACGTTTTCCAGAAAGAGGAATTGATAGAAATGGAGCAAGAATGCAATCTCTCCACTAGCTCCACACAAATTCACAGAGTTTTTCTGTCATGCCAAGACTAAGTGCAGAAAATGCACCACTAGGTCTTCAGTAGCAGTGCTTTGATTCTCTGACTACCCCAACCACATTGCCATGGCTGGCAGCCCAGACCATGCTATGATTTCCATCCATAAACTACATTCTTTAAGCATCCAGGTCCTTAGGCATTGATCTGGAGGATAAAAAGGAAAGCAGAGTTGCAGTCCTCTTTTGTTTTCATTTTATTTCTTCATCACCAACTCTGTAATGGGAACGAGGCAAAAAAAATGCTACAACAAAAGACAGATCCAACTCTCCACTAGTTTGGAAACATTTTCCACTGGCAGAACATAGAATAGTTATTGACATTACAGTGCAAAAGAAAATACATAATAAAAGTAATAGTCAATAATACAGAAAGATAAAACTCTCGTGGTTAAGGATTAATGATCTGCTTTCTGGTTATGCTTGATTTTAGTTGTGTCATTGAGTTTATATGCACAGAGCCCTAAATCCATTTGTCACTGTGTACTTTTGGCACCAGTTTTGTGTTATGACAGGTACATGACAGGCAAAATGGCTTTGAATTGAAATATTAGTGCCTATTAACATGGTAAATTCTGTATTTTATATTCTTATTCTGCAAATACTAATTTATTGAAGACATGTCAAAAAGCAGACCTCAGACTTATACTGCTTTTGATCACTTTAAGATTACTTTTCCTGGATTTAAATGTAATAATTTCTCATTACGACACAATTTTCCAGATTAATGAACTATCTAGGACAACAACTTTATTTTGCACTGATTCAGGAACTTAATAATGCCCTGCTTTGCACACATTTTTAAACCTAATTTATTCTTTTTCATATCACATTCTCTAGAAAAAACAAAATGCCCAAGTACTTTATTTTCAAGAAATGTGGTGATTTCTTTCCTAGTTATCCTTTCTACACCAGGTTCTTATGCTTAATATCTGTAACAAGCTCTCAGGTATCACAATTACCAAAAATGAATACAAATACACAACCTACTTATTTGGAACCTTTTTTTTTGTTTTGGTTTGGTTTTTTTTTAATGAGGAAGTAACCCCATCCCAGGGATAATTGCCCCCAAGTGGTACAGCTATCATAGACTGTATGATTTATCCTTCCATGGGTTTAAAGTAAGTTTGCCATCTTAGAAAGTAATTTTTAGGCTGGAAGACAACAATCTTAAGATATTTACCAGACAAATTATCATTTGTTGCCTGAAGGTGAAAGTGCTGCTTATCAGACATGACAAGATGTGTAAGTGCTGCTCATCTTAAGTTCCCACTTTTATGTATGATAACTCATTGAATTAATCACATACATTTATATTCCCCCCAAATACTAGCCTGCTGTATCAAAATATTTATGCAAATCTAATAATAATGAAAAAGAGAGCTATACATCTTTATTTAAGAGTTAATTGGTGTTTGTCAAAAGGAAAAAAAAGCCAAGGAGAAGATATATAAGAAAGAGTGTCATAATAAAAAAACACCTATACAGCTCAATGGCAGAGGGTGACTGACTATGATTCTTTAACAACTTCTTTCATAGTAGCAGATTTCATTAGCTTTATAATCACAGATAACACACAGATCTTTAATAATGAGGTGTCAATGTGTGGAAGAAAAGGTTTGCAGACCATTATTCTTTCAGACATTTTCATGGCAGATGCCAAGTGCAGAGAAATATGAGAACTGCCTTAATTAGGAGGCAGATTAACTTATTCAAGCACTTCTGGATACAGGGGACTAGAGCCTGGTTTCTCAAAGGCTACAGCACAGAAGTACTGACACATTTTACCAAGTACATTAAACATAAAATCTACTATGATAATTGAGAAAAAAAAAAGGAGGGGTTCTCTGTATTTCAGTCAAATATCAAAAATCTCATTCTAATCTTTATTCTGCATTCACATGTCCCTATGTGTAACATCAAGGAGACCCCAAATCCAAAGGCTCTGACCCTAGACCAGTGTTAAACAGAGACAAACTGTCTAGCTGGCCCTTATCCTTCAGTACTTCTCTCATGACAGAGGCATGAACACTTCCAACCTGAGGAAAAGGACAATAAGAGCAAGATAAACAATTCTACAGGCACATTAATTAGGAACAACATGCTCCTGAGATCCCAGAGAGCTGCTCAGCCTGCACTACCCACAAAAGAAAAGTCTGCCATGCTGTAGAACACAGATCCAGGGAGCTTAATCTAAATGGACACTATCATACCCATGTGCTGCTGCTAATAATTAATAATTAATACAGTGCTTTTTTTCCAGAGGTAATAATTTTTGGGAATGATCGTTTCTTCCTGCAAATCAGTTATTAATAAACCAGCAATCATAATTTTAAGAGTAGTGATGTGATATCCAGTTTTATAATTACATTCTGCTTTCTGAAATTGTATTTTAATTACACATAGAAAAATTACTAATTTTGGCTTCAGCCTATGCACTAACAGTAAATACCAACAGCTGCCATATATAAATTGCAAATGGCTATGAGTTAGCAATTCCTATTTTTATTTCAGTTTTGTAATGAAAGGAGGACATTGAAGTGTCCTTCAGTCATTCTTCTGTAAAACTTCCTTTTCACTGAAATTACAGATTTCTTCTAGATCTATCTATTCAATCAGTTGAATTCAGGAGCAAAATGCAACACTGGAGATGAAAATTACTAGGACAGTTGTTAATCAGTGTGAATCCTGACTGTATTATAATGTTTGAATTTATTGACTCAAACCAGTTTTCATCTTTTTCTTTCCTCATGCTTTCTCTGAAACTGCCCTTTTCATCTTGCAAGACCGGAATATTCCCTATTGTCAAGTTCATTGATCCATTTTGGCAATTTTGATTTGGGTGTCCCAGATTATTTTATGGTTTTTGATATGATTTTTTTTTTCACTGAAAGAAACCATGATAAGCAATCCCATATTACTGTTTAGTGCTGTATTACCACAAACTCACTTTCAGTGCCTGACAGGTAAATGATCCTATGAATCAGCGCCCTCGTTTATTTTAAATGCAATTCCATCTTCACTGTAGATCTGTCACGCAGACGTGACCTATTTACCAAGTGATAGAATTTTGTTACTCAGTAAAATGTAGCTGCTTCCTCACTACAAAACCAATTTATTGACATCAGAAACAGTCTTAGAATGATCCTCAAAATTTGTCGTAATCTTCCAGTGAATTTGAAATCCTCCTTAGTTTCCGTTTGATGATCTTACAGGACAAACTTTCAAAGATGTTAAAATAAAACCCCAGCCAAGAGTGAAATCATACCTTGGTGCTTGTCACTTGAACTGGGACTTTGGAGCCCTTTGTGTTTGAGGAAGTAGTCAGCTTCCCAGCTGGTTTTGGAGGGATTAGGTTCATGGTGGATGGCTGGTGGCGCAGAACAGAAGACAGGCAAAGCTGCACAGTCTCCTTCAGAGCTTTCAGCTGGGACTCCTGGGGAAAACAAGAAACCATCACTTCTCTAGGATGTGCTATGGTTAACACAATGGCTTACTTTCTCTATCTCTATTCAACTAAACACTTAGGAGTAGCTGCTGCTTTTTCTTACTGATGGAAGAAACTAAGACTGTCCAAAGCAGTATTTTTATGTGATTAGGTTAAATTAGACACCAAACTGCCTAGGAGGTCACTGCACTCTCTTCCTATCCCTTCAAGCAGCAGTAATCCACATTGATTATTACAAATAATACTTAAATATAACTTTTTTTTAAAAGAAAAATACAATTTACTAAATATCGTACAGTTTCCAGCCTTTTATGCATAATATCTACAGAGAAGTCGTAACTATTGCAAGACACAGACTTTGCATGGAGTTTTGTCTATAACATTTCTAATAATTGGTATTTTTCCATGTTATAGATAGATTATAATCCAGCTAAAATGGCTTCCCTTACATGGGCATATTATACTTTTGCACTATGCAGTAAATGCATCGGTCTTTTTAAAAGTTAAAAATGTATTTGTCCACACCCACTACTGTCCATAAAGCCAAAAGAAAGTTCTAGCTGGTGAAGTGCTTGTGACTCATGTTAGAACATTTGTATTTTACTCCCAGAAATGTTAATGGAAATAGAAGCCTGTAATTTAAATAAGCTGAGAGAGCAAGAACGAGATAACTACAGCAGTGAGGAAATCATATTTTAAATCTTTATTTCATCAAAGCAAGACGTGTCAAATGTTAGCCATTGAGGTAACTTCTTACATTCACTTCAGGGGGAGTTAGCAGCATTTGACATTAAAAAAACACCTAATTTCTAGGTTCTTTTCATTTTATTAAAAATGTACCTGTAAATACAGAATATGTTCACATTTCAATCATCAAAGATTTTTTTAAAGGTACATAAATCAAGGTATACTATGGCAAAAGCTGGTGGAAAACATATGTATATATGGTGGAAAATGTGTATATAACATTACACACTCCATAAAAAATATGTAAAATATTACATATAAAATAAAAATATTTCATAGTCATATTAATCCTAAGCAATGGCATACAGAAAGTTTTAGTTTATTTTCTTAGCAAATATTTTTGAGAACATGACAAATATTTTGTTTTACATCAGATAAACTTCCCCTGAACTGAAAGCAGGGAATGTATCTCTTAACTGGAAAAAAACTGAGTGTTTCTTAAAAAAAATAAAGCCAGTTAGTAGAGTGTATTTCAATAGTAGGACAAAAGGCAACCATAGAAAGACCATTAATGCAGAGCACAACAGGGAAAATTAAAGAAATAGGAGATGGAACATGTTATGACCTGCCCCTTAAGGCAAGTCAGTAACTCAGGTTCCTGTTAATAGATCCCTGGGGCAGATTAGAGTGAAAAAACACAGAATTATTTGTGTTTTATATGTTTTATTTTAGAAAAAAATTTGGTTGCAACAGAAAGCAAATATGTAAGTGTTTTGGTTATTACCTACAGCAACATATCAATATGAAAGCATAGAAATAACACTGGGAAGGAAGTGTGAAACAGAAGGAAAGAAGGAAGGAAGTGGCGGAAGGAAAAGACAGAAAGAAAAAAAGAAAGATGGAAGGAAATAGGGAGGGAGGGAGGGAGGGAGGGAGGGAGGGAGGGAGGAAGGAAGGAAGGAAGGAAAAGAAAGAAAGAGGAAGGATAAAAGTAAAAAGATATCACCACCCATGGATCCAGTTATGAGACTTGATTGTTGCAATTTTGATGTCCATTGGTCAAAGTGAAATTCATGCTCTTGTTTGCTCGGAGATGAGGCAAAGTCCACAGAACACTGAGTTCAATGTTTAGGCTTATGTGGGAGTGCCCAGGGTACCTCTCCTGAGGGAGCAGTTTACCCTGTCTGGTGCAACATCATGGATAATGGAAGGTCCCAGAAAGAGTCTGGGGACACCCTGGGCATCTTTGATGGTTTATTACACCTTCTAAGACATGACAGCTGCCTCTCACATCAGCATAGTTGAGCCAGTTATGCCCCATGAGAAGGGATGAATTCCCTCAAGCCCACTGAATGTCCCATGGGAATGTGACTGTCCCCATACCTTCCCTGGGGAGGGAAGTTTTACAACTGAGCCAATCATTCACAGAATTCACAGCATGACTGGGTTGGAAGAGACCTTCAAGCTCATCCAGTCCAACCCATGGCCCAACACCTCAACTAAACCCTGGCACCCAGTGTCACATCCAGGCTTTGTTTAAACACGTTCAGGGATGGAGACTCCACCACCACCCTGGGCAGCCATTCCAGCACTTTATCACCCTTTCTGAAAAAAAAATTCCTAATATCCAACTTTTATTTCCCTTGGTGCAGCTTGAGACTGTGTCCTCTCATCCTGTCAGTGCTGCCTGGAGAAAGAGCCCAGCCCCAGCTGAGCCCAGGCACCTTTCAGGAGCTGTGCAGAGTGATGAGGGCACTCCTGGGTCTCCTTTCCTCCAGGCTGCACAACCCCAGCTCCCTCAGGGGTTCCTCACAGGGTTTGTGTTCCCAGCCCCTCTCCAGCCTTATTGTCCCCTCTGGATGTGCTCAGTGTCCCAAGCTCCTTCCCAAACTGAGGGCCCAGAGCTGGGCACAGCACTCCAGGTGTGCCCTCAGCAGTGCCAGTACAGGGCAGAATGAGCTCCCTGTTCCTGCTGGCCACACCATTCCTGATGCAGGCCAGGAGCCATTGGCCTTCTTGGCCACCAGGACACTCTGCTGGCTCATGTTCAGCACCCCCAGGTCCCTTTGTGCCTGGGCACTGTCCAGCCACACTGTCCCCAGCTTGGAGCCTTGTAGGGGATTTTTGTGGCCAAAATGTAGAACTCAGTACTTGGACTTATTGAACTTCATGCTGCTGGACTCTGCCCATCCACCCAACCAATCTAAGTCTCTCTGCAGAGCCCTCCTTCCTTCCAATAGATCAACTCAAGCTCCCTGCTTGGTGTCATCTGCAAATTTACTAATGAAGGACTAATGCCCTCATCCATGTCATCTATAAAAACATTGAACAGAGCTGGTCCCAGCCCAGAGCCCTGAGGGACACCCCTGGTGCCTGGCCCCAGCTGGATGCAGCACCATTCACCACCACTCTCTGGGCCCAGCTCAGAGTGCTCCTGTTCCAGCCCAGGAGTGTGCTGTGGGAGTGTGCAGTGTCAAAGGCCTTGCTGGAGTCTGAACAGACACATCCACAGCCTTTCCTGCATCCACTGGTCATAAAAGGAGACCAGGTTGGTCAAACACGACCTGTCCCTCCTCAACCCCTGCTGGCTGGCTCTGATCCCCTGGCCATCCTGGAAGTGCTGGGTGATGACACTCTATAATATAAACTGTTCCATAATCATACCTGGGACTGAGGTCAGACTGACCAGCCTATAATTACCAGGATCCTCCTTCCCACCCTTGTTGTGAATGGGGGTCATATTGGGCAGCTCCCAGTCATCTGGAACCTCAGCAGGGAGCCAGGACTGCTAGTAAATGATGGAGACTGGCTTGGCAAGCTCAGCTGCCAGCTCCCTCATCACCCTGGGGTGGATCCCATCTGGTCCCATAGATCTATGAACATCCAATCATCTCAGTAGTTCTCTGACTGCCTCCTCCTGGATATTAGGGGGCCCATTCTGCTCCGTGACACCATCTATCAGCCCAGAGGACAGCTGTCCTGAAGGGAAGTTGTCTTCTCACCAAAGACTGAGGCAAAGTAGGCGTTAGGCACCTCTGCCTCCTCCTCTTCTGCAGTTACTAAGTTCCCTCCCACATCTAATAAAGAACAAAGGTTGTTCTTACCTTTCCTTTTACCACTGATATATTTGTAAAAACATTTTTTATTATCCTTTACAGTAGTCGCCATTTTAAGTTTGAACTGAGCTCTGGCCTCCTCAATTTTTTTTCCTACGTGCTCTAGCAACCCCCTTAAAAATTTCCCGAGAGACCTAATCCTCCTTCCAGAGATGATACATCCTCCTTTCATTCCTAAGCTCCCCCAAAACATCCTTGCCCATCCATTTATCCATTTGACTCAGGGGCCCTTTAATTTCTAATTGGCAGCAGAAGATACTAGCATACTTCTTTTCAATGTAACATGTCTTTAATCCTAACTTTTCAAGTCAGTGACTGCACAGACAGCATAAATCACCATTTGTCATGGTTAAATGGGCAGAGGTAGCAGACTGTCTAATTTTGCATGATGACATGGACTCAGTCAATCTATTCTGATATGACCTTAGTGCTTCCTGCAGATTGCACCCATCTGAAATCACTCTCCTCTCATCCAGAAATTTCTCTGGATAATTTCTCATCCTCTCATTTCTTAATCCTGCCATCCAGTGCTCATTCTTCCTTGGCTGCAGCCATTCCAATTTTGCCAATCCAAAGGTAAAAGAAGAACAAGTAAATTTGTTTCCATCCTGTGCACAGCATAATTCAATATTGATTTTGCTGATAGGAGATTTATAAATGAACATCATGAAAGCACAGGTGAAGGAAACACTATTGGAACCAGGGATGTAATTTGACAAAGTTCTCTATAATCTTGCACAGATGTGATTGTGGCCAAAATAGGCAGCTCACTGGTCAAAATACTGCCCACATATGATGCATGTCTTCGTATTTCCCTGATCTATTTGTACTCCTATCACATGGCTAGATCCACAGAATCATCAAGACTGGAAGAGACCTTTAAGACCATCTGTCAACACAGCACCATTTTAATCACCCCTAAACCCAAGTGCCACATCCAGATGCCTCTTGAACACGTCTAGAGATGGCACCACCACCACCTTCCTTGGCAGCTTATTCCCATGCCTAACCACTTCTGCAGTGAAAATAAAATTTATTATTTCTAATCTCCTCTGGCACTACTTAAGGTAACTTCCTCTCATCCTTTCACTTGAAGGTGAAGGTGGCCCTTCACCAGCTTCACTGCCCTTCTCTGAACCCACTCCAGCACTAAAATGTCATTTCTAAAGTGAGTGGCCCAAAACTGAATACTATGTGAGGTGTGGCCTTACCAGTTCTGAGTACAGGGGGACACTACTGGCCCCACTATGCTTGGAATTTGGGACCTGGTAATACAAAATTTGTAAGCATTCTAAGGGTCCATGGTGGGAAACAGAAAACTGCTCTAGTGTAAATAAACTTATGACAGACACTAAGTCTATTGTCAGCACAAACTATAGTTCAACAAATATCTAAATCTACTAAAAATCAGTGCAAAATTTTTTGGGCCACTTTTTTTTTCTAATTTGGCCATCCTCTTCTTAAATAACTTTGCAGATGTACTTAACTTCATGTATCATAATTAGTTCCACTGATTTCAGCAGCATCACTCTCAGGTACAACTGAGATGCAACTTAGTGTGCATCTAAATAATTGCATGGCTTTAATTTGTTTTTGTCAAATTACACCAAAACATCCCCAGCTGACACAGGTAAACACTCTTACATTACATGACATTTCTTACTTTGTCAAGGGCTGCGCTTTCCAATTTGTCTTTTGCAACTGATAGTTTTTGCTCCAGATCTGTTAGCTGTTGTGCCTGTGGGAATCAAGAAAAAAAGAAAACCTGATGCAATCTCCAATGCATTTTTTCATGTGAGAGAGCAGAGAACAGAAATTTTACAAGTAATGTATATGGGTTGGGTCAGATTTGCTTTTCCTGAGGGAAGAAAAAAATTATGGTCAAATGTGCTCCATTGATGTGAATGCAAGTTTGTAATAATTCAATGTCAATAGCAAAATTAATTCCATACTACAAAATATTTATTATTATGCCTTAATATCCTTCTGGAAAATTCAAGGTATTCAAATGTCTTTTAATAATTTTATTCATTTGTCTGACTTCTGAGTGCAACTTGAACATTATTTTGTAGTTTTAAACATTGAGATGCCAACATTAAGCTACTTGGGCATAAACAGACAAATTAGAAAACACCCAAACATTCTTGCATGCAGACACCTAATGAAATTATACTACCTACTAGTATACAAGGAGTTAACTCCAGATTTTTTTTTTTCTCCATGTCTTTTCCTGGAAATGTAAAAGGAAAATTCTCAAGAATAGCTGACTATGCAACTACATAGCAGGAAAGCTATTTGGGAGACTGAAGTCAGGTCAGGCTAGTAGGCTGCACCCTGAGTGGAAGGACTTCTGCCTCTCTATAATGTATATGTCATTCATGGAGTGCAGGGCTTCAGAAGATGCTTTTAAATGTTCAGTAAATAAAGACAAATATTTTCTCTCTCTTTGCCTAGGAGGTGTATAAACCTAGCCTGTTCACTTGAAGGAAATACATTCTCTGCAAGAATTTTCTGTTTCAGGGAAGCAGATTCCTGCAGTTCTCAGCCTTGTCATTAAAAACACATTACTATGCAACCAAAAGGAATAAGGATTCTTTTCCTGTTGTACCTGCAAAAAAAAGTAGCCTAGTCATTGTTTTCCCTGTTTGAAAAGGGAGCCATAGATGACAATGGAGTAGCCACTTATCTTTTCTCTCTGAAATTCTGATTAAGCAAGTATACATTTTGTACATGCAGAATAATTGGATAAAATTCCCATTTCTCAGATAAAGAACTTCACATTTTTATTTCGACCCTCTATTTGCAAGTGTGTTTTCCCTAAACACCATTCCATGCTCCCAGGTTTCTGGAGTTCAATCCCAGCCAGAGATTCTTTCTTGACAGACTTTTCAAAATCTCCTGCACTCTGCTGACTGCAGCACAGCTTAGTGGATAGCCACACTGCATAAATGCTGTTTAGTGTAAATCCCATCAAGGTGGCTAATTTGGTTTCTGCTGGGTTATGACAGTCCTTCCAGCACATGTCATAGATGAGGTGATGAGCCTAGGCAAGCCTGTATTCCTCAGCAGACAGCTCATGTGATGTTTATTAGCACTGGGCATAGGCTGTACTGCCAAATGAAATGTCAAAAGCCTGGCATTTGCAGCTCCCAACTCATGTAAAGAACTGTGTTGTTGTGTTTTAAAACACGATTAGGCATTTATCTCCAGATTTATCAGCAGAGTCACAATTTCATTAGTCTAAACCAAACTTGCTTCAAAGGGAAGCCAGCTGTTTGCTCACATGTGGGAAAGTCTCTTGTGGATTGCAGTCCCTAATTTACACTGGAATACATTCCTTACAGCTAACACCAGTCACTGTCACAGCACACATATCAGACCACTGGTTTCAGCCTTTAGTCTGGCAACAGAGAATTCACTACAGAAATAATCCTTCCATTTTATCAGTTTGCAAAATTTGATTGGACTTATCACTGATTTACTAGAGAAAAAAATTACTAAGATATAAGAAATTGCTAGAATTAAGGAACTTTTTGGATTTTTTCCTAAATATTGGATACAATATCACTCACAATCAACATGGCCACAGACAATGTCTGAAAGACTGAACATTGACTCCATGTGATGTAGAGACACTTCTCATAGAACTAGACCAAGAAACTTCTCACACCATTAACATTTTTATATTGTTATTTATTAAATTATTTTTCTCTACAGCTATACAAATGAATACATTCTCAATCAAAGAGAATCTGTATAATTTCAATTGCCACTAAAAAGGAAATTACACAAAACAAGAAATGACAAATGTGAGGCTAGGCTGGCCCCTGTGACAGGCAGTGTGCACTGCTGAGGAGTTAGAATCAGATGGAAGATGGTGAGGCCCACACAACAAGGCAACTTCTTCCTTCTAGCCCCATCAGTGTTACAGTTTAAATCAGTGGAAAGCCAGAGCTGCAGTTATGAATTAGAGAGTGTCTGGTTCCCCTCAATACATGCATTAATTACACGGGCATCTGAAAGCCTGGGTAGGTGGCAGGAATCAGGCAGTGGTGGTTGGAAGTGACTCTGTCTTCCTTTCAGGGCAATGTCTGGTGCTATAAACACATGGAACTCAATGAAACTGCTTCCATATCAAAAATCAAGCTGGAGGAAAAGTACTTAAGTTCTTTAATAGATACTTTCTGTGACAAAGAATAACTCTATTGTAATAACACTGTTCACATACAGGAAAACATTTGTGGTTTATGGTGAAAAGTTACTCATCCAAAGAACAGGTTTCAAATATATTAGTGAAGATTTTCTGAATGCATCATTTACCAAGACTTATTCTCATTTTTCATAATACTGTCCTATGCTGATGGACTAAAATTTTCTGTAATGCTCATGTATATTTATTCCATTTCACAGAATACTGAGCAAATAGCTCAGTGATATCAATCCACCTGATACCAGGGAAGAGTAAAATTCTGGCATTAAAAATGCCTTTTGATGAACCATTCACTTGAAAGTAGTGATAGTCATTTACATCTCAGTACCAAATTTGCAGAATAATCTGATTTTCTGAAAGTTTTTGTCTCTCAAGGCTAAATTCATATTGCAATATTTCCTGCTGCTGCAATTTAGGAGTTTTTTTAGGGAGCCTAAATTAACTAATATGGCTTTGATACTGAGTAAAGAAAAGGATGAACACCAATAGGACTACTCAAGCCCAATTCTAATAAGCTGCAAAGAGTCCTTAAAAAAACTAGACTGGAAGAACTAAAAAAGTAAAAATAAATTTAATACTTAAATTTCTCTTAAGTATTCTTATAGAATGATGTCCTTGACAGGAAGCAGTGAAATAAATAAAAGCCTTCCAATGCCTAACAGGCGCCTACAGGAAAGCTGGAAAGGGACCTTTTACAAGGACATGGAGTGACAGGACAAGAGGCTTTAATCTGAAAGAGGATAGGTTTAGATCAGATGTTAGGCAGAAATATACTTTCTGTTCTGTTCTTCACTGTGAGGAAGTTGAGGCATTGGCCCAGGCTGCCCAGAGAAGCTGTGGATGCTCCATCAGTGGAAGTGTCCAAGGCCAGGCTGGATGGGGACTTGAGCAACCTGGTCTAGTGGAAGGTGTCACTGCACATGGCAGAGGGAGCTGAAATTAGATGGTGTTTAAGGTCCCCAATGTCCCTACTGAAAAATAGATATGATAACACCTTCTTGTATAAAGATATTCAAAAATTCCTGTCCTGTGTTTTTCAGCAGCAAGTTGAGTTTAGATCTTCAGGCCCCTCCTGCATTGTTAACATTACCATACTAATAATGATTATCTATAGCATCATGGCAACAACACACAAATGCTAAATATGACATTTGAAACAAGAATATTCAGAAATAAAGAGATGCCTATGTAAACAGTGACATCTACTTTTGTCCTCATTTCTGTTGGGGCAGAGTTAGTTTCTTCTCAGTAGCTGGTACACTGCTGTATTTTGGATTCGGGATGAGAATAATATTGGTCACACACTGATGTTTTGGTGTTGCTACATAGTGTTTATTCTTTGCGTCTCATGCTCTGCTAGGGAAGAGGTGCAGGAAAAAAATAGCAGAGCCATTACAAGGACCATTTTCAGTGCTGTTACCATGACACCACAATGGCCATCATGGGAACAGGAAGAAGAGACTTTTGTGAAGTCTTTGATAGTTTATCTCTCAAATCAATATGCTTAAAAATGCTACCCATTAAATGTACAACAACAGGAAAGTGTCCTCTTCCAGACTCTATTCAGTTGTTATGCAGCATGATGAAGTCACCCTGTAGCTTATAGAACTTATTATCCCTAATAATGAGTTGCAAGATCTCTGGGAAAAAAAAATCCCTAATATTTTGCATTGCATTTATAACTTGGTATTTTATAATAGCTTTTTTAGTTCAGTTGTGTCTTTCCTACATGGTTCTGGTAATTTTTCCAAGGGAGGTTGCACAAGACCCAGATGCTGAAGAAACACACGGGATGAATAAACACCCCACAGACTAAAGATCCTGTCTGAAAGCAAAAGAAATTACAGTATTCTCTCAGGGAAGCTGATACAACAGGCCAAAAAGGAAACTGCTCCCAGTTTTCCCTTATCATCTCCTTCAAAGACTGAACTACAGAAATTATATTTACCATTACAGGGGAATGTAAAAGCAGCAAGAAAGATAAGAGCATTCTTTCTGTGCTAGATACATGAATGCACAAATAAAGTTATAGGAAAGTGACACTGCTTTTTTTTTTTTTTTCCTTAGAAAGCTTTCTGCAAGGAAAATGGAAGTTTAATGCTACTTTGAACATAATGAGGAATGCATTAAAATCTGTTAAATGGACTAGTTTTTCAAATATGCAAAGTCAGCTGAATTCTGCAGCTGATAATTTTAATATGTGCAGATGCAAATCATGGGGGAAGTGGATGTACCTATGTGACATGGGGTGGTTTCAAATAAAACTGTATTGGAAAGCCTGAAACTTGCATTTTCATATATGTGCCAGCACAAAAAGTACTTCTCTAAAAGATTATCACAAATTTAAAATACATAATAAATTATTACAAGCCGAGAAAGTAATCCTAATGTTTACACAAGTTCTCTGCCAAAGCAGGTCTTTGGTGGTTTTCTGCTTGTTTTTTTTACCTTTGTTTTTATTTTATTATTTTATCTCTTTCTTTGTATGTAATATGGAATCTCATTGCCTTCATTAGAGAAATGAGTAA